ATTTATATTGAATTTACACGTCTGCTGCATCTGTGAGAAAATACTCTTTGATGCACACTAACAACACCTCTAGTATAAATTTATAAGTCGAAAGTATCGAGGAACGACAGAGTTGACTCGATTGCAAATTTGTTCGTATTATATCCTCGTATGCTTGGAAAATTGTGAAAATCGGAAAAAAAGATTAATCGTTTGCTTTAAGTAATTCAGTACTTCCAAGAATATTCCCGCTTACCGGAGTCTCGAACGGCTTAAATTCGAGCGAAAGATTAAAACGAGAAGTTTATCTTGTATCATTATATAGATGTAAAAAAAAATGTGAAAAAAAGTATATATATATATATATATATAAGTATATATATATATATATGTACATATATAAGAAAGAAAACTACTTACGATTGTAAGTAATTATAAAAAAAAGTCATATGTATAAAGCGATAAGAGAAGTCTAAAGAAACACCTTTCAGTTTGAAGTAACACTTACTGTGGCATATTGCTTAAGTAATAGCTAGGTGATGAAATAGGGAAATAGCTGCTCATATTTTTTACGGAGAGTAGAAGACTATTATCCCTTTTATTAATTATCAATGTAATACTATTTTTCGCCCAAACTTCCGCATACGGGCGTTATAATTTTTCGATAGATGCTTTTTCAAAACTTATTCTGATCACGTTATTTTTTCTTTTTCTTTTTCTACTGTTTACTTGAGAATGGCTCGGAAGTCGATTATTGTAAGTTCCGTTTTTTATTGCATGATTTTTATATCATCGTTTGATTCTTTTTGTTTCTTTTTTAATTTGCTTAATATGGATCCTTTATTCATAATGGCTTTTACTTTTATTTGTCGCTTCGCGGAACTTCCACGATCTTTTATGACGCTTTCGACTCACGTTTTTTGTCACTTAAATATTTTTAAAGCTTTTTATGTTTATTTTTTTCCTCGTTCTCTCATTTCTTTTTTCTAATCGATAGCAAAACTTGCACGGATATCCGTCGTTTGACTGTAATATTTCTATATGAAATGGTCCACTACGAATAGAGAGACTGTTCAAATGAGTGAACATAAATAAAGTTATCTCGAATAGAGATCGGTACGCCTTCCTGTAGCTACTTAAAGATGTAGTCATTTACAAAGTTCAGAAAACGAAATTTGACATGGTATGCGCATTGCGACGTTTTAACTTATGAAATGTGAAGAATGGACTTTTTTCTTTTTCTTTTTCTTTTCAAAGAATTGTGAGATTACAAATTTTAGTTCAGTGAGATGAGAATGATCACTTATTAAGGAGTGAATGTAATGATTACTTGGCGGATTTGGAATGTTTCGAAATTTAATAGAACTTTTATTCTGAGATGTATTGTATAACAAACAACGAGTTTGTTGCTCCTCATTGTTCTAGAAGTGATGGAAGAATTAATATTTCAAAGCGAAATGCTTTCATTCTTGTACTTGAATCAATCAGTCGTTGAATGTATAAAATAAACTGTACAATAGGTATTTTCCCTTAAAAATTATGTTGTTGATTAAATACTATACCATTTTCTGGCTATCCCTTGAATTATCCTATGTTTCATACATGTTGATCTTCAAGCTATTAGGTTGTACAATTTTAATAAGATCCATTAATAAATTATATTCAAGTTTATTTTATCAATTTATATGAATATATTTAAAATTATTAGACAGAGATAAGTGTTTAACTTATTATATAAAAATAGTAAAGTTTTCAATTTCTGATATATATATTTTTCACAATTCATTTTTTTGCAATGTAATTATTTTGTTAAATATTAAGGAAATTGTATATTAATAACACGAATATGCATAGAAATGAATATTGTCGTAAAATATATCTAATAAATACTGACCGTAAACCTTGAATCGGAATATTTTTATCTTTGTTTTTCATACAAATGTTTGGTCGACGAGGTAATTTCGGGACTGGTGCAGGTTTCGATCTGAATGTAACCCTCTCCTTTTGAGTCATTTGAGATAAACGATGGACTGATTTGTTTTTTTTCATAGCCAGGAACATCGTGTCAAAATTCTTCTGCAAGATTGTTTTCGGCGTTATAATATTTAGAAATTTTCCAATAAAGTAAATGTTAAATTAAATTAATAGTCAAAATCATTCATCGTATTTACTAATTCTCATCGTTAAAAGATTATACTGTATTATAGTACGCTATAGTTTGATTACGTATTTCTTGTTATCATTAAATGATCATAATATGTTGCAATATAGTGAAAGCAAACCCTTTTAGCTTCTAAAACCTTGACTGTCTTCGGAAACCTTTTGGAACCTTGAAAATCACGTAACTACTATCTTGAATATTAATTATCATAGTTTAATTCAAAAACTGCGCCACTTGCCTATAAATTCCATGCTACGATGTGCGCGATCCTTTAGGCGAAATACGAAACTATGATTCAGCGTTTAGAATAATTTACGTTTATAATTACAGTTGGAACCTCTGTTTGGCACAAAGGATTGCGATCGATCTAATGTCAATAATGCGTCACTCCTGGAATCGTAAAGATTTCTTGGATCAGTAGTCTCTGACGTCTTTGTAATTTCTTTTTTTCCGTATTTGTTCGTCCTTCGTCGTTCATTCCTGTATCGTGGACTTTTCCTATTGCGTGCTTTGGTCCTCTTATTAGAATTACGATTCAGTAAACGTGAATGATATAATTCTATCGTTTTTCATCAAAGTGATCTAAGTAGCATAGTTTCAAAGGTATTTCAATGATTGATATAAACCCGTACATAACAATACTTTTTTTAACCTCTTTAAGTGATTTTATATTCGTAGACTGATATCGATGATGAAAATATATCTATGTTGTTATTATTTATTAAAATTATCTAAATAACGAATGTTTCAGTGAGTGTATGGCAATATCAACAGCGAAATAGAGGAATTGATTAGGAGTGAAACAAGAAAATTAGTATAACTTTCGAAGATGAAAGGAGAAAATACATTGACGATTTATGACAGTAAAGAAATTGTTTTATTTCACCCTTTTCAAGAAACGATGGTATAACCTACAATTATAGATAAATTATTTTATATCATATCTTTTTCAGAAAAGAAAATGCATTATCTCGGGGAGCAGCTGATAGTTATTAGAAGATGGCTTATAGAATAAATCGATTCACATAAAATCGAATATAATGGTTTAGGATTTTTTATTTAGGCCATAAACGACACATCTCGAATGTACAAAAATGTAGAAATGTGAGTAGGATGCAAATCGAAATCTAAATTTCCACTTAAGAAACAACGTATTTTGGCGAAAACGTGCAGTTTAGGTATCGTGTGTGACCCTTGATAAATTTAACCCAGGACTACATTTCATGCATATTTATTCGCTGTGATGCTCTTTTTCCTTTGTGCTGTTCCAATATCGTGTCATTCTGGTTTGCTAATAATGCAGATTAATTTAATGCATTGTTTCTGACTGATTCCGCGAAACTCTGCAATAAACTCCTCGTTTCCTTATTGTGTCTCGTGAATAAAGTAATATCGTATTATTATCGCGTACGAAATCTCGCGTCTGGAATTGTTTGCCCAATTAGTTATGGTGTTCGTCGAGTGAAGGTTTCAAAGAAAGGATCGCTAAAATAATTGTTGTGTATGAGTCAGACAGGATAACACGGGATAAGATTACCGGATAAATAAAATTATTACAATCGTTTCTGCCATATTTAGTATCTAATAACTCTGTTTACATAAATGAACAATTATTCGCGATTAAAACCCAATTATTTTTTGTTTCCCAGTAATAAAATTTATATTACGACTTTTTTAATATTCAGAGATGAAAATAGATTGTTATAGTTTATAGATAATTACAGGAAGAAAGATTTTTGTTATCATTAATGATTATATATAAGATTATATAAGATTATAAAGATTATATAAGTTTATATAAGATAAATATTATATTAATGAATGTTTTCTTTCAGTTTATATTGAAGTCATAATACTACATTACTATTCATCATTTTTTTTCGACATTGCAAAAAATGTTCGAACTATTATAAAAACTTTACGAACACGTAATTTCTCAGTAAACATTAATAGTTTTCTGAAGCGTCCATCATTTTAAATATAAAAAAGATAAATTATATTTCGCGCGGGTACACCAAACTACAGTTTAATGACATTGTAAACCCAATCATTCATTATATGTAATATTATTAGAGCTGCAAAGTCTGGAAGTAAGGTTCGAGTATTTTTTGATCTTCGATTCCATATTAGGACTTATCAAATAATGTAAATTTAAACGAAACTCGAAATTAACTTAATTTATTTTTTTTCGAAATTAACGAGGAGACTGACACTTTGCTTTGAAGCATGTATTACTTGTTATTTATCTCGAAATGAAAGTTCCCGTTGAATTCGCATCGAATTAGCATATTTTTGATTGCAATTGATTTTTACAAATTTATCCGTCATACTCTTCTTATTAAAATTAGATACAAAAACGTAGTTTTATTTGATAATTCGTCCCAAATATCCTAAATTTGACACCTGTTACTTTCCTGTAAGGAAAAATTATTTTTAGCAAATTGCGTCCGACTTTGCGAGAGTTTTGAAATATGACATTGATATTCGGTTTTAGATGCAACATGAAAAATGAAGATAAAGAAGGATATTTTTCATTTTTGAGTTAAGTCACGCTGACATCAATTAACACTTTTTTATTATTATTAAATACAGCTTATTTTTTGTTAAAAATAAGGAAAAGAACGTCGGTCACTGGCACTAAGATGGGCAGCCAAGTGAATGGAAATATCGGACATCGATTAGGCAACCAGAAAAAAAAGGGATTAAAATGCGCGTCATCCTCGTATTAATAAACAAGTCGAATATTTTCCAGGAGTTACAATAAAACGAAGGTGAAGTTGTAATGTGGCTTTCCAGCGGGAGTTCGCCTTGTGTGAATCGATGTTGTTCCCACCTTCGGCCACCTTGGACCTCGGCGATTGATCCTACCACCAGAGGCTGGACATATATAAGTACCATGAGCTAGAAGACTTCTACAATTGCACTTAATCGCAGCTAACACGTTCAGGTGAGTGTCTCGCGTGTTCACGAAGTGCCTGGTCCTTCGTGAGTTGTCAGAACATCTCCGAGTATCGGTAATTCGAATAGAAAATCCGAGGATCCAGCGTTTAGTGTTGGATTATTGTAAATTATTATATATCTCTTACGTCGGTGATTATATAAATTGGCTTTCACTTGGTATTATCATCTTCGGAAGTAATGCCGCTCTGTCGTGTATGATGTTTCAATGGAAAGACGGCGAGTCTGGAAAGAGAATCGTGTGAAACGTGCTCGTTTAAGTTTAACTTTGTTAGTTGATAAAAATGCCAAACTTGGAGATACTTTGATGGAACTTTGACAAGAAATGCTTTACATTTTGTTAAGTTTCTCTAAGGTGAATTTTCGAGTGTTTTAATCGTAATATTTGCTTTCTTCCAACAGTCATGAAGGTCTCAGTGGTTTGTTTGCTTCTCTTGGTGGCGGTCGTTTACGTGGCTGCTCGTCCTGACGAGGCCCAATATACGAACAAATTCGACAATATCAACGTGGACGAAATTCTGCAGAGCGATCGTTTGTTGAATAATTACTTCAAGTGTTTGATGGAGGAAGGAAGATGCACCGCAGAAGGAAATGAACTGAAGAGTACGTATAATTGAAATACCATTCGTTTTATCATAGAGACATCGCTAGGTATTTGCTAATAATATTCATTGACACACCGTAACTGGAACTTAATTTAACTTACTTATTTGACATACCCTAAGTGAAACTTAAGTTAACCGTAATTTATTTGCTTACAAAGAAGAGGATTATAGTCGAGTACATTTTACGATCTTCGTTTGAAGCCGAAATTTTGGAATTGAATAATTATTACGATAGATTATTAGGTGCTAACAAAGTACCATAATGGCATCTGTCGTACAATGAAGCGATATTTAAAACGAAGTACACGGGTACGTTACATTGAAGCTACAGGAAGTTATCGTGGATTAAATATTTTACGCAATATTGAGAAGATATCGAGAAATTGATAATATACGATAATAAAAGAAAAGTCGAGCGATCATGCGATCAAGGCGATAACGTTAATGAAGAATTTTTAATACAAAATTTAAAGACGGTCGTTTAGACTTAGATAGATTTAGTATTCATTCAGATAAAGATAAATATCCAAGTACAGAGTAAATGAAAATAATTTGTCGAAATTACCATTCAGCATCTCGTAAAGGTTTTCTACTCTTAAATTTCATCGATTAATAATCGCATTTCCAACTCTTCAGAGGTGTTGCCGAACGCTTTGGCCACGGACTGCCAGAAATGCTCCGAGAAACAAAAGGAAATAACCAAGAAGGTGATCAAATTCTTAGTCAATAACAAACCGGAAATGTGGAACAAGCTCGCGGACAAGTATGATCCTGAGAGGAAATACCGAACAAAATACGAACAGGAGGCGAAGAAGATCGGCATCGAAGTTTAAACAACGACGAGGCAAGCGAGAGGAACGCGCACGATGTTCGAACTCAGGGATAGCCGGAACGTCTTTTCAGGAAATTATTTAGCTCCTCAATGAACAATTAGACGAATGTAACGTTCGAATGGCAATTAATAAGCAGTTGTAGCACTCGTGCGTGCGAAACGAGCGATAAGTTTCGATAAATCGAGTCCCATCGTGGCAGACAGTGTAATTTTACTACGAGAATAAAGTCAGTTTGTATCAACGAACACGCATCGATATTTGTCTCTCGGAACAAACGCTTCGGCAAAAGTTCAGTCACATTTACCGGCATTCCGTACTCGTACTCCCCTGCTTTCGATTTCAAGCACGAAAATGCCTTTGCTCGGCACGATTTCGTATTCGTCGAGTGATTTTTGGTCGATCATCGTGTCATTTTCGTGTATCGAGCCAGGGAATATGGAGTAACGTCCGAACAACTGATTACATAATTTTGAAAGCGATCTTAGTAATTTTAATAATGCATCCTTGATACCAAGTCGTCTGTAATTTTCCTCGCGCTTAATGTTTGCTAAGAGAAGAAGTTGCGATCGAGATATTACGTGGATGTTATAAATTCGTTTTTTTATCGGTAATTTTCTTTAAGTATCCGGAGTGATTGTCATCGAAGTTTCCAGAACACGTTGCTGATATAGTTTAGCGAAATGATATTCAGATTACGGTATGCTGCTAAATCGTCTTAAACGGTGATTAGCGAAACGAAGTCACTTTTTAGGATACCGAGTGGTATTTAGCACAATACTAATTATGCAGTAATAAACAGCTATCTTTTTTCGAGTTTTGCATACAATTATGTAAGCATTATTTTATTCAGATAGTATTAGATTTTTCCATGTATTTTATTCTGTCATCGAGGCGTTAATTTTCCTTCATGACGTTGATTTAATAGTCACGTTTTTGTTTATCAATCTCGATATTCCGCAAAAGGAGTTTTCCTTTAATTATACCGTGCAATAATATATTCCTACGGTTTCTTCAGTTGTTGAAACAAAGTAGAATATTTGAACATTCGTTAACGAGTTTAATTATTAGTCTACTAATTAATTTGCAAATATTGAACACAAGATATAAACAGAAGAAAAAAGATGTAGGAAATATCGATTCATTTGTCAAACGATACCCGAGCATCGAGTTATTAGTAAGCTCTGTACTCTTGCAGTTATGAAATATGAGTTTTCGATGCTTATCGAAGCAATCCCATCGATGACCCTTACACGTGAAATTAAGACGTCTAACGTTGATAATTAGGAGCTTCGAGGTAGGAGAAAGTGGTATAAGTATTCAGGAATACATGTCAAGGATTTCTTCTCTAACCAACAAGGCGATACTTTGACTCGTATGAGTTGCACAAACTGATTACACGAGAAATTACGAACTGAACCTTTACACCCGAAGTAGAAGAATGCCTGGCTTGGAGAACGTGACCAATCTTGGTCTTCGGGTGGAAAAATTCAAGAAGAAATTCCTCAAGCACTACCAGACGAATTTTCCAACCCTGTTTCACATTTGCTACGACCCGATAGGCACCCATAAAAAAGCACGTGCCTTCATTGGATTCCTTCTTGGCCTTTTCACGAGTGTACTTCTGTACGAGTGCATTATCATTGGCCTGCAATTCGATCCATATACCAGCGTGAGTCTCGGTGGTATCCTGACTGCGATGCTGTCGATTGGGTGCACCTTGTCTATTCAGGTGACCATTGATCTGTTCGATGTTGGACTTCAGCCTAAAACAATAATGTTGAACATCGTTTGAAACGTTGAAAATATTACATTAGAATATTAAGAGTCATTAGAATATTTAACGAAAGAAAAATGTTATTGAAATAATTAATTCCGAACAAATATTAATTGTTACGTCAACAAATTTGATTAAGGGAAAATTGTAAAGTTAATTAAAAGTTGCATCGGAATATTTCATCAGTGGAAATTTATGGTAAACATTTTGATTAGGAGAAAGTTCTATTAGAAGATTTAATTGAGGAAAAGTCATAGAATATTCAATCAGTGGAAAGTCATATTAAAATATTTAATCAAGAAAATGTAATTCCACTTATTTCAGATACTTGATTCTTTTCTTAAATTTATTTTCCTGTAATGAGACAAGGAAACAGTATCACGTGGAAATATATCGATTAACGAGAAACCAACGAGAGCAACACGCATGAATCATAATTTTTTTTCAGGAAATTACTCGCAAAATGCTCCATTCGTTATGCAAAAATATCTGTAGAATCACATTTCATGAAAATATGAAATTAATTTTCTCGTGCTGAATAATGTTCAAAAAATTTATTATTTTCACGAATTTAACGCGTCAAATATTTATAAATGCGTCAAAGCAATGCGAGATCGAAGTTGCAGTGTAATTCATTAAATGATTCTGCGAAATTGATATTACGAAGTACATATAATTACTGCTATAACTTGTTTCATAATGTATCTCATCGACTTATTAACTATTTTTTTCTCGCCATGAATCAAACGTTAAACGATTATAAGTGCTTAGCAATGCCATTATGTGAATTGCAGTAGCCAACATAATGTTCTCTGTTAATTAATTACAATTGAGTCTACCATATTAATTTAACAAATTGCTTGATTGATTTGACATAATACTAAAGTTACGACATTCTTTGATACATAAAACGAATTCCAATGCAAACGAATTGCTATGCTTTGCATTCTTCCCATATTTATGTCCCTGATCTATATTTCGAATGGAACGTTATTAATTGGGATAATTTTATACATTTTTACGATGCACGAAGTTACATTAGAATTCTCTGTAAAATATTTTCGATCAATTTTATATTATAGCTATACTATATTTATCGAATTTAAGAAAAGAGTAACATTTAAGATAACTCTCATATTCATTTATTTACCGATATGCAGAATAGTTTTATGCAAAAGAATAAGGAAAATTTGTATCACGAAGTATTTCGTTCACAGATACGAACGAATTAAAAATCACGCGTGTGTGTTATTTTTGATATAATAGATTCGATGTATTTGCATCTTGACGTTGCCAGCGTTCTTCGGTCGAGCTGGACGAAGCATGCTCAGAGCCCTGATTTTTGGATACATAATAGCTGGACCATTGTTTAATTTAGTGTACAATACTAAAGAAGTGATAAGAACGTTCGGTTGCACCTCACAGCTGACATATAATCTCACCAAGACTCGATTCGATTTGATGTTCAAACCTTTCCAACAGGTGCCTATACTACCCCCTAAAAGTACCTGTTCATCCCCCAATGGGAAATAATTTAATTATAAAATTGTTAATGAAAGGACTTACAATGACTTGATTTTTCAATTCCAATTTTATTTCAATAAATTTTTCATAATTTTCTTTTTACGTTATTATTTTAGTAACGGAACTCACAGTTGTTTCTAATTATCATTGGTATTGCAAGGCGATTTTTGCTATGAAAGCGGACGCAAACGAGATAAAGGACACCCTGTCATCTGTCAGAGACCTAATGAGTCCAATCGTGGAAGAAGTAGAAGGCGAGGAAGAAATGATACGATTAAAGGAAGAAAACGATTACCTGGACGAATTGCAAGGTGACACGAAGAGGAGCAAAGAAATCGATGAGAAGCACGAGAAGAAGATCGAGCAGGCGAAATCTGATGCAGACGTGTACGAAGCTAAATACAAGAAGAAGATCGAAGCTCGATGCGAGGAGCAACTTAGTCGAGGTTCAGGAAGATGCAGGTATGTTAGAAAAATATTAATAATTTCTTTCATTAACTTCGTGAATACGTGTAACTCCCTAAACCCCCTGAATTTTACTAATGTTTTATAATTATTTTGCAGGGACATGTTCGGCGAGGCTTACAACAAATGTTACGACAAGGTGTCTGTGTTTGTTGCTTGGCTACTGTGTTGGCCAATGAAGCTGACGTTCGTCTGTAACTTGGTGCAAGCGTTGGGTGGTTCCAACATCTGCGATCCTGAAGGAAAGGTCGACAGTGGCATCGGCGAGGGATACGCTGCTTTGAAAAGTACGTGTTCATTTTCTTATTAATTTTGCCTTAACACTCCACGAATAAAAATCAAAAGACTTTATCTATTTTTCCACTATTAAATATCTAATTATCGTGTGACATTAATTTTGCAAAAAGCAATCGCATAATTAATTGGTAATTAAATCTCGCTAAATAACGAAGAAAAAGACGATCCTTTATCTATTTTACTATTATTAAATATGTAAATATGATTGCGTGTGACATTAATGTTACAAAAAGTAATCGCATACTTGGTAATTAAATCTCGCTAAATAACGATGGAAAAAACGATCCTTTATCTATTTTACTATTATTAAATATCTAAATATGATTGCGTGTGACATTAATTTTGCAAAAAGTAATCGCATAATTAATTGGTAATTAAATCTCGCTAGATAACGAAGGAAAAGACGATCCTTTATCTATTTTACTATTATTAAATATCTAAATATGATTGCGTGTGACATTAATGTTGCAAAAAGCAATCGCATACTTGGTAATTAAATCTCGCTAAATAACGAAGGAAAAGAGTAATTAAACGTTCAAAAGAAACTTAAGAAAACTCAACATGCAATTCTTCTAGCAATTGCTACTAAATATTTCTCTTTTCCTTTCACTCGTTACATCACACTCGTCCAATCGCTTCTCGTGAACACGAATTCCTATGTTAAAGTTCAACGGGACGGTACTTCTTCAAAGGTGCCCGGGAAGAGTTCAGCAGAAGCCTGAAGGACGCGAAACTTCAGTACAAAGTGAAGAAACCGCCAGTGATATTAGACCTTCAAGATTCCGCGCACGCTACCAAAGCAGTGATGCACGAATTCGTGGTACGAAAGAGGCTTTTCGAGTCCGTGATGACCATGATAAAGAGATGCCTGTCTTTCGTGTTCCTGAAGATCATACTCGGTGCTCAGAGCTACAACGAAAAGTACCTGAGGGATATCGAGTACGATAACGTCTACGTGACACCCTATTTCCGGAAGATAGATGCCAGACGAAAGGCTCGTGGCAGCAGAACGTTACTTCCATTGAAGAAGATCGAGAGGAAGAAGTTCGTCGATCCTTACAGCTTGAAGCCTAGCAAAGCAGAGGGATTTCACGTGACAGGGCAGGTGGTGAAAGTGCTTCTCGAGCTCGTCACAGCGACCATTTTTGTTATTTTGGACTGGCTGTTGTATGAAGTATTGGATGTGATCAGAAAATTTGCTTACATGGAGTATACTCAGGTAGTTTCTTCGCATAAAATACAGGATGTTTGAAATACCAGGGTACAACTCGTGGAAAACTGAGTCCATAATGTGGAATAAACCTGAGAATATTGAACCAATCATTGGTGACATCACAGGTTGACTTATAGCTTCAGAATTGTTGACATGGAACCATGGATAAATTATTATTATCCAACTGTTGTGAGACTTCATTCGAGAACTGAATTAAATTTAAGAAATATTAAATATTAAATTTAAAAAATTAAATATTAATAAATTTGTTAAATATAATAATAGTAAATTCTGTATACCAAAGTACGTCTAAAACGACTGCTTCTTCCACCAGGCTGGCCACCACGACCTGACCCTAGAAATCCGCGGTACTGGGGTGATCGCATCCCTGATCAGAAGCGCGGTCCGCGGTTTCAACGTGAAGAAACGAATCAAAACCGTGGTTTCGAACAGCGCCTGCCTTCCACGACCAACGAAATTGCCCACTTACGTAATCCTCAAGATCTACGGTTTTTTTTTTCCTGCTGATCTTCCTGTCCGTCTACACGGAGAGGATGCGCCGTGGCATTTGCTCGTTCTTCTACCGCAGAAGGGAGAAGAGACGGGTGCTGTACCTCTACAACGAGAGCCTGCGACGCAGGATCGCGTACGCGAAGTTCATGAAGGCTAAGGTGAAGAGCATGGTGAGAACGCGTCATTTGGAGAACGAGGTCGACTTCTGGTTGGCCGTGAGGCTCAAGTGGCCCAAGTATTTTGGATGGCTGAATTACTTCGACTTCGCCAGGGAAAGGTGTTTGATCTGCGGCGACCCGGAGCCCAGAAGAGGGCCGAGGTATCGACAATGCACCACTCCGGGTTGTAACTTCTTATACTGCGCCGAGTGCTGGAGAGACGTTGGTAGGATTTGCTATGCTTGCACCGAGTTCTCGGATACCGAGACTGAGGAGTACGACACTCAGCGCAGTGACTTTTAGTTCCGTTTCTTGCGAACTTATCAGTGGGAACTGCTAGGCATTAGGTCTAAGTGTTACATAGATGTTTGAAATTTTATCGAAGAATACAGAGATCATCGATGGAAGAAGGTCGTAATATTACAATAGGAACTATGTTGAAAGGAATGGAAGCAAAGATCCTGAGATATAGTACTTAATACTAGAACCCACTGAGAAGAGAATTGTACGAGATTTATAATATTAGCTATATAATTAGAACTGAATGTAATGTTCTTTATTCACATTCTTAATGTGATATAGCAGTACTCTGTGTTATTCCAAGAACACATTGTCACAGCATTAGACTTGTTCCTCAAGGTTTCGATGCTACCAGTCAAGGCTCATGGTACATGTATCTAGAAACATTTTTAGGAAACCTACGATATCATCAGAGATGGTGAGGCCAGAATAGAGATAATCAGTGGAAGAACTATGTTAAATACAATGAAAGCAAAGATCCTGAGATATAGTACTTAATACTAGAACCCACTGAGAAGAGAATTGTATGAGATTTAATTAGAACTAAATGTAATGTTCTTTATTCACATTCTTAATGTGATATAGCAATACTCTCTGTTATTCCAAGAACACATTGTCACAGCATTAGACTTATTCCTCAAGGTTTCGATGCTACCAGTCAAGGCTCATGGTACATGTATCTAGAAACATTTTTAGGAAACCTACGATATCATCAGAGATGGTAAGGCCATCTCTACGTATAAATCTCACGTAGCAAAGTCGACAAGAAGTCTCAGATTTCATGAGGAAGAAACGAGAACTTAAAACGTGCATTTACTATGTTAGATTTACGAGGTTCGTGATGCTCGAATGGAATACAAAATGTTCTCGAAGTTAGAATTATTCCTAGTTTTGTAATACAATGGCATATCGGGATTACGGAACTTCGCGTCTCTATTAAGCTTCCATGAAGCCAACGTCGCATCAAGGTAACGTTAACGTGAGCATAATGACTTCCAGACGCGGAACGATTTACGTCTATTTCATATAATTCAAGGAAAGGTTGCGATTATACGACGGATCCACTGGAATACGACATGAGGCTTCGCAAATTGGTTAAATTCAGTTCACGTACACGATAAAAACTTGCATTTTGATCGACCAGGGAGCCCTGAATTTAACGATGATCGTTATGATACCATTTTTACCATTTCACCTTCTTATCAGTCTACCAAATTCTTTCCAAAATTAAAAAGATAATACTTGGACGTTATACATACACGAAGGAGACACGAAGTAAATAACAAGGCTTTTTATAATCTATCCTAGATTTAAATATAGTCTCACGGTGCGTTGGTATAAGAATAACTTGATTCATCAAACGACAACTCGGCGTGGAGGAAAATGATCGTTCCGTGAGCATTTTTCCTAACGAATTACGCGGTAGGTACAATTTCCTTTGGGTATGATAAGTAATCGGCCGCGATTTCGTGCGACTAACGAGCCATGCACGAGACATATAAGACCCGCACGCTAACGAGCTCGACGTTCAGTGATCGAAAAAGCCAACAACGGTGAATCTCCTGTGCAACCAAGATGAAGACTGTCCTGATTGCTCACGTGGTTGTTGCCTGCTTCCTGCTCGGCGAAGTACTCTCTGAAGACAAGTACACGACGAAGTACGACAACGTCGATATCAATGCGGTGCTGAACAGCGAGAGACTTTTGAACGGATACGTGAACTGTTTACTCGATCGCGGCGCTTGCACCCCTGATGCTGCTGAACTCAAGAGTGAGTACGAAACCTTTTTATCCAAAGAATAAATTACCGTTATCGAATAACTGCTGTCATAAATACGAAGCATAAATGGGTTGACAAACGTACTGATTTTAGAGCATGATGGAATATTTTTATACGTCAGTAACTGTATAGAAAGAGTTTCGTTGTTTTTAAATAGAAGGCTATGTTTTAATAGAATTAATTTAGACCAGGGTTCCTCAACAGTGACTGGGGGGTTTCTCAGAGGATCCAACAAGTGCAAAAATGGAAAACTTAGAAGGCTACAGAATATGATACAAATATCTACGTGTGCATTTCTCTTAATTCAAACAATTTGTGAGATATAAAGACAGTAGTGGAAAGATACAATTTCTATATTTCCATTTCTGTCGAGATTTTAACACTTTATGTAAGATATTACTATACGATCCTACAGGGTTCTTATATATCCATAGACATATCTTTGTGACATCCCTCAGTTACTACACCTCGACAATAATTCTCGACAGAATAAACTGATTTCATTATTCTACAGGCTTCATTCGGACTACAAATTTCATTAGATCTACAGAAATTTAAAACTACCCTCTACGCAACTGACAAACTTAATCTGAAGTTACCATAACAATCAGGATCATACTCAAGTTAACAAACAACTCCTAATTACATCATATACAACGCTCGATTCACCTTCCCCTAGTTTAATTCAAAACCGAAGAAAAATATTCGCCAGACTGAACCTCGCAACTAACCCTGAAAGGGCTGAAGCACTACGGGCTTGACACCCAATGTCGTTTAACTCGTACCGATGATCCCAATTAGAGTTTAACCTGGTGGTAACCACGAGAGATCAAACGAATTAAAAGAAAGAAAGGCGAACAAAGCGATGGGACGTATGGCCGAGGTAGTGGCGAGGTAGAGCCGAGGAGGAGGAGAGAAAAAGCACGGCGGTGTCGTTTAGAGCATCATCGCGAAGGTCGTTACAAGGCACCTCCGCACGGAGAAATGCTGGACGAGTCAATTACGATACGTCCGTGCGCTCGTATGCATATTCCCTGATGCTCGGAACGCCGTCGTTTCACGGTCGACCGCAATTTTATGAGCGTCGTTACTATTCCCGAGGGGCAAGGCCGTGCATTAAATCGGTTACGCGTCCTTTGCCATTTGGAAAAAAGGCATCCTCGCGTGTTACAATTACTCGCGTATAGAATTTATTGCTTCGTGCGTTCTTGCTGCGGAGATCGTTGATTGGAGGAAGGTTTGTTATCGCTAAGTCCTCTGGTCCCCTGGCAGACTGCAGCGTTAGGTTGGTGCGCCTGCGACGCGGTTGCTGCCGCAAATTGAATTCGCCTGGGGAATACCACCTCTTCGCATTTTTCTCGATCCTTGGTTATCGCGTTTGCCCATTTAGCCTTAATTTCGATACTTTTTTCAAGAATTTTGATTAAATCCAGTGAAGAAAATCCTGTGGAATTATAATATAACTTTAGAATATATAGTTGACTATTGGTAGACCAAGAAGAGGAAAATTTGATAAATTATGAAAAAGATATTTATAGAAGAAAAAATAATCAGAGAGTAACTGAGGACAATAAGCATTTCTCAATCGAGCATTTGTTATATAATATGAAGGATGAGGAAACCTTGCTGAATAAATTGAGGTTTAATCTCCTCGTTAATCACAGTATCATAAGTGTCTCTATTCCGATGTATTTTAATTTAGATACACCGACATGAATATTATTACAACTTCTAAAGAACGTATTGAAAAGCTATCTGGAGTTGTAAACAATTTCATGTGAATCTAAACAATTTCAATTACGATTAAAATTTTCAGAAAATTTACCGGATGCTTTGGAACACGAGTGCTCAGCCTGCAGCGAGAAGCAGAAAGAAATCGCGGATAAGATTTCTCAGTATTTGATCGATCACAGGGCGGAAGAATGGAGTCTTCTCGAGGCAAAGTACGATTCAACGGGAGCTTACAGACAACGTTATCTTCAGGACCGAGTGAAGGAAAAAGCTCTGGACTAAATTACCCTCGTAATTCAATGGCATCGATTATCTTCACTTCATTCTTGTTAATTTTAACTGTACACGGTACAACGATGCACTATAATGATTTGCTACTGTAATGATTCCGGTATAAATGTTTACAGGATTCGTTGATTGATGATGATTATATCATAAAAACTGTTTAAAACAATCAATTGCACCTTTTACAAGTGTGCACGTTTCTTTGATGAAAGATGTAACAATTCCACTCCTAACTGCCATTTCAATCCAAAGAGGATTATCTAAAATATACCTTAAACTGCGATCTATCTATATGAACTAGAAAAGCAGACCTATTTGAAACATCGATTTAGCTAAAATTTTTCTTAAATATTGCTCGATTTAAATTCCATAAATATGAAGAAATAATTAGCTAGACAGAAGCAGCTTGCAAAATAGAACTCTTTGAACTCTAACAACGATGTTAACATAGCCAGGATATTACTGAGAAAATCAGATAACATTCGGAACTCGTCTAATTTGCATACAATTAGCAAAAACGATCAGCAGCAGCAGCTCGTTCGAGAACGGTAATTAATTCGAGGCTAATTAAACGGTGATTAATGAACTCGCGGCTAATTCATCAACTTCGGATAGAGACAGGGCCCGATTGTGGTTCAGCTGGGGCTAAAAACGGGACCAGTTCTAATAACTGGAGCTTGGGGAGAGACACGAGTGCCCGGGGAATCCTCGATTACCCTTCGAAGTCGATTACTCATCGTGATCCTTGACACGGAATAACGTCCTGTTGCACGGAGGAAACGACTGTCATGACTCGAAAGACTTCATGCAAGCAATCGTTATCTCGTTGCATCGCTTATCGAATTACTCGTTGCGACTAGACGCAGCTCCGAGTGACATTCAAATTGACTAATAATCAGGTGGATACGCCGTGGCCAGGCTACAATTTGCGATCGATTGCACGTCTGTTGCGGCAATAAAAGCAATCAATTCAATTGCCCACGCGATTCTTCCTGCCCGGTGACCATGTCGTTCATTGGAACGATCAACGCCAGAAAAATCTTCGATCGTAGTTGCTATCTTGCGGATCGCGTAATTTCGCCGCAGGAAATCCATTTTAGAGTTTAATCTTGAACGAAAAGTCTTTAGGAGTCCCTTTTCTTCGTGAGCAGAATATCCAGGAAGAAATTTATCGACGCAGAACTGTCAGTAGGATATCATCAGGCTAAGACACGAATAAACAGACAATATTAAATAGAGAGAAAAATTCTTCAGCAACGTGAATTTGCAGGAGTTACATTTTAAATTTTAAATATTAGAGGAAATTGCATATAGCCATTTATAGGAAGAGTCAGGAAAATTGCAAAGAATATCATTAACATTAGAAACCTAAAAGTCCATCTATATTGCTTTAATTTAATGACACCCTGTATGTTTAATTACACCACGTATAAAAATCTAGAATAGTGTCAAAATAATATCAAATGGAAAAGCAAGATGAAATACCTAGAGATACTAGCATTAGATTAGTCTATACCTAATTTGCAGACACCATGCACGCTTTTTCTTCCCTGCAGTCATATTAATAATAATAATCCAGGACGTGAAGCAGATAATATTAAAACAGAGAAAGATATCTCGATCGATTCTTCCTTTTCTGTACGGATCTCGAGTATCAAGCCGCGTAATCCGTAGCGGCTTCCTGGTGCTACCGTTTACCCCACGAAGCCTCTCTCCCTCGCTCTCTGTTAAGAAAAAGAAAAGGGGGAAGAGTGGAACGCTGTATAATCTTGTGCTACATTTTGCGGTTTAAAGTTACCGAAAATATCCCGTATCCGGATATTCAAGGAGGCTGTAAAGCCCCGGGGTCCACGTGGGTGGTCAGATCCCTAGGACTCACAATCCTTTTGCCGCTTTCCTAGAAGTCCGTAGATTTCCAAAGCGAACAAAGAGAAAGGAAAACGGGAAGGAGGGGGAAAAGGGAGGAGAAGGGAAGACAAAAAGGGACGAGTGTATAACAGGCGCGTGACTAGAAACAAAGAGCCCAAAAGGAGAAAATGGGTGAAGAGGGTGTCGCGTACATACTGGAAATTGCGTCCACGACACAGTGGATGGCGGATCGCGTGTAGGTAAAAGTTAATGTCCCCGCGGTGGCTGTCGAATAGACAGGAGAGCGCGTTTTCAGTGAAAGCGGCGACTTTTATGAACTCTTCGGGACACTTTATTGCCATCTCTGGCTTTTTTAGATGCATGATACCTGAATTCCACATAGATAGACCCGTCACCGTGAAACGTCTTTGAGGTAATAAAAAGGATTATGGGCTCCTCGAATGCCGGGAACCGCCGTGAAACTATTAAGCCGGCATAAATCATGTTTCGTGAACGCGTCTAATCCATAAGCCTGAAAAGATAAAGTTTCGTCAGGGCAACTGGTCGAATAGAGCAAGTCCAACTGATCGCGATAGAGCTTCGCTGGTGTATCCTCCGAGTCGTAGATTTTTTGGGAGTAAAGGGACGAAGGTTGGTACCTCCAGATGAGAGATATGGTAATTTAGCGAAGCGTACGAATCGTGCTTTACGTTCAGGAGGCAAAGTTTATGTAATTTCCAACTGCAACTGTAAATTGTTTGATTGTATATTGGCAGAGTTCATAGAATAATTTGGAGGAGCAATGGGATACCTTCGTTCCTGTAAAAGCAGTGTTTTAGTCAATCATGATAGGATAAACAATGGAAGTTACAGTTATTGGAAGAGATTGTATAATGGTTATAAATGTTTTGACAAGAATACCTACTGAAATCTAATTTTCATAATACAAAGAGTCGAGGAGCAAGTTGTATAAGGAGACCGCACAGGTCATTAAAAGAACCTAACTCATCAGAAAGAGATGTCTGCTATTCGAGAAATAAAAAGGACAAGTAGTTTCGGTCTAAAGGTCGCCAAAAAAAAAAAAAAAAAAATGATTTTCGCATCAGAGTTCCGAGAAAAGGATCATATATCAACGAAGGAACTGAAACAACGATTAGGTTTCCGCTACAATATGTTAACAAAAATTTGAGACAAAGTAATATTTTTAGGCAACTGGTCCTTCGATACCCTCCATATGAATGATGATCTTCGACAACAGTTTGATTTCTCTACCATCCTTTTTTAAATCCTCCACATTTATTACGTCACGAAAAATATTAATTCATAATACAAGATGTCGGACAGGAATTCAACTAAATATGAATTCTTTCAGAACGTAATTAATCCTAATTACGTCATTCGTATCATGTTACCAGTTTCATCAAAATGATATTTATAATTTAATATCATATAATTTTCGTATTAATCGCAGCCTCGTGAAAAAATATTTATCTAAGTAACTCCATGTGTCTCAATTTCATTAACAACGTGTACTCCAGTCTAGCTTATTCCTTATCTCGTTTCGCGACGCTATTCCATACCTCCGATCTCATTTTACAGTGGTAGAACCCGCCGTTCCTTTCCTATATCTTTCGATATAAATCGTACTCGAAGCTGTCACCGTATTCGATAGTCGAAAGACCGATGAACAAGCATCGTTACTCTGCTAAAGTAGCTCCTGACTGTCATTATCTCCTCTCGAGAGTCAATCTGACGCAGCATTATACGAAGGTGGCCTGTGAGAAAGCGCACACGTGTTATGGCTGAAGACAGGTAGCCAGCTTCGAATGTTCCCACACGTGGTTTTGGTCGCGCACATAATTAATGCGTGACACGGTACAACTGGATATACAAAATCATTCGTTTTATCTAAAGAACCGAAGAATCGTAAAGTACGCTTCTACCAAACTCGTTCGAATACTTCTGCTTACATATACGTGTGTATGTAATAGTGTGTTAATTTACTTGAGGTTCAATGGATCAGGATACCATTTTGTAACAACGTTTTCGTCGAATAAATGCAAATTTATCGAGAGTTGCTTATCACAGGCTGAAGAGTTGAACGTTCCGATGGGACATTTATTCGAATTTATTGAGTTACCTCGTTTATGGACATAGTTCGCTGCACCTTCTCGAATGAATATGTCGGGAAACCGATATGTTCGGGTAGATTAAAGTTTCACGCATGATATCCAGTAGGTTTTTGTCTGAATTCTTGTAGAATGTTTTATAGCTAAAAACAGGATACAAATGTCATACTATAAACAGTCTATGAATATTTTATGAAGTAGATTATATATTATAACGAGTGTCGATAACAAAGATAGTGATATAAAAGGTAACGGGTATATTGACGGATCGTATTTAACCTAACAATCGATAAACCTTTTAATACATATTTTGAACTCGTGATCTATTTGTTTTAGAAATAGATTGAAATTAGTTCTGTTTTCGATTCGTAATTAATTCGTGTACTATTACATTATTAAATACCTTGATTCCAAAAAATGTAACGTAGATCATTAAATCGCAGTCTCGTCACTATCGGAACTGACCACGTATTCCGCACACGAGTTCGAAGCTATCAAATAAACCCCGCAACAGGTCGCTCGTACATTATCCATTACATATGCCAGCTCGGCGATCAGCAACGTGACAAACGTCGTTGAAGCAGGCGACGGGAGGAAATCCGACGAGGCTCCGGTCGAATTCGTTGAAACGGGCCTGCAACACGCGAACCCCGTAAAGCAGTATGAGGCGTCACTTTACGACCCCAGCTCGAGTACCACTTTCCTTTCTTGTTTCGCGCATCGTCCCGCTAACGCGCGACAGCGCCATCGACATTAGCAGAATTAGATTCGGTGGAGGCGATCGTCGCGACATCTTTGTTATTTTACACGAACGTCGTGCGATTCGATAACTTTATATTTCCAATAGGGAGAAAAAGAAAGATTTCACATTAATTCTAATCGCAGATTAAATAATCTTTTTTACTAATTACCTATTTTTCCTTTTCATAAAAACTGACCCAGATAAAGGCTGCATCGTCATTCTCATTTTACAATAGTGGTGTTCTACAATTCGATTAGTTTCAATCTCTAACATTGCAGTTAATCTAGAGCGTATACTCTATTAAAAATTTCTTGAAAATATTACTAAATATGATTAGTTACATCTCTAACAATACAGTTACTCTAGAGTGTATACTCTATTA